TGTTGGCTCAATTGTCCCATAAAATAACTGAAAGTTGATATTTATGGTTTCTTTTGAATAAACATAGAAATTGACCCTCCCAGTCTTGAAACTCAACAGCATTACATTTGTGTTATCTGAGTTCCTTTCTCAGGAAACCAACTGTTGGGACTCTTGGATAGTATCGAGGGATTTAAACTCACCAAGTCACTATGCCTGGACAATGGAATATCAGACTCATCACCATCATGATGGCCTAAGTGACCATCAGCTTCCTGTTGACCAATTCCTCTTCCTTATCATACCTAATTCCGTTCTTTTCATACATAGTTACATTTATTTCCTGCTGTATGAACCCCAGATTTTAGTTGTTCAGGGAGACAGATTTGACAGTGACCTCCCATTCTCCTTGGTTGCAGAACCCAATTAAACACTTCCTGTTAATACTCATTGTCCCAGTGATTGGCTTTCTATATGGTGAGCAGCATGACTTAGGCCAAAACTGTGGCATTTTGGTAATGCTGTCTAACTTTAATTCTGTACCTATTGGCCATTCTCTACCTATTTTCCCTCCTTCTACGTTCCCCAGCCTCTGGTAACAACTATTCTACTCTCTACTACTGTAAAAATCAACTTTTTCACATTTTTACATTGTCCTTCTATGAAAGGACAAACGAGGACACTTCAAGACCTTAACAGTCTTGAAGATTAGTCATTTCGTAGCCATTCTCAGTTTGGGTTTGCCTGATACCTTCTGGTGATAAGAATAGGTTATGGAATTTTGACAATACCAAAGAGATTGTGTTGTTTCCTCAGAGTATCATATTAAGGAATCAATGATGTGTATATGTCTTATTATTGGTGAGTTAGCTAAATGTGTGTCTACTAGGTTTCCCTATCATAAAGTTATTATCTGTTCCTTAGTAGTTGTAAAGGATCTTGGGGAGATACTTTGAGACTATGAAGGCCCTGTTTCTTTGTAAGTTTTCACTCACTAATTTTAGTCTCCACTGATGTACCTCATTGGAACGTTTATTTCCATGGTGTTTGTTCTTTATATCTTACTTTCTATTAATTGGAATTCTACAGTGACAAAGAGCTGTCTCTTCTCTCTTGTTCATTTACTTATTTATATTTTTTATTCATTTACTCGAAGATTTGTTTCTATTAGTATGAAGTCAGTAATATTTCTCATTTTTGAAGTTAAAATCTAATTGTGTAGTATTTGTGTGTTTCTCAAAGTTTTCTATCTTAGGCCATTAGGAACTCCTTCAGGTTGATTTCCATGTTCTTTTAACAAGCCTTCTTTCCTTTTAAGTTTTTGAGCTACCTTATTTTCTTGTACCACCATATGATGCTCCAGGATTATCTTGAGTTCTGCCTGCCATAGTCTGGAAATTAACCCCCTTTGCAAGAAGCCCTGGTTCTTATTATTGTGAATAGGGTTTAGAAACCGAGATCTGGGTGTTAGGTGTTAGTAGAGTGTTACTGCTTCTGGTTCGCTCAGCAGACAGAGCTAGGAAATATATGTACGTTTCATATACATGAACTCACTCATGCATATGTCTATATGTGTATATCTCTTTGTGTGTCTAAATACACTTAAAAAATAAAAGTTTTACAACATTTTAAGTATATATATATATATGTGTATCTGTGTGTAAATATATGTATCCTTAGAAATATATATGTTTATTTAACCATCAATTAATACATTTTTCTCATGAATACAACCTATTTTCATTAAATATTTTCCTGAGTGTGGCATATGATATTATCCTCATTCCTTTCTTCATGTCATGACTCATACCTGGAATAAATTTTCTTTTTCATATCTGCTTACTGAAATTCTGCCTATTCTTCAAGATTCAGCTGCAATATTTCACTCATGAAAATATGTATTATTTCTCTCTCCTTTGAATCCATTGTGTTTTTCTCATATTTCTAATGAGGTTTCTTTTAATTACATTTTTTACTACTTTACATGCCATTTGTTTAAAAGATAAACTTGAGTTTTAACTTAATGTATGTTCTGTTATTTGTATGTGTTTTGGGGATATTACAGAGGAAATAGTTTCTTTTGTTCTGCTCAGTATTTTTTAAAATATAGACTATCCCCTAACTCTAGTACAAACATACTTCTTAAGGTCTAGCAATCGTAATGCCCATCATCCACTTTTCTCTGCTATCACAAAGCTGTACATGTGATCTGGTTTTACTTGAACATAGTAATTCATTCCTTTTGCTAAGGTGTATTTCTCAGAGTCAATCAGAACTCTCCATTGGAACTAATATGAGGACACTGAGAATAAGAATCTAGCTTGATTTTTAGCTGTGGAAATGTCAGAGAGATGTGGTCATTATACCCTATCCCTCTACCCTACACAGATTTGTAAAGAGCTAAGTTAGGATTTGTAAACTCATTATATTATTTGAGTAATTGCTGGAGAGGCAAGTTTCTCTGGACTTCCCAGATGTGTACGCCAGTAAATTTAAACTTTTTGCTTATGTTTATTTGAATTAGATGTCTATTACTTGAAAGACTGATACAGAAGTTGGTACCAGGATATAGTATATAGCAAGTAATAAGCAGAAAAATATTGACATCCCTGAGGTAAAGTAAAGCTACTTTGTTCCTAGCAAGATGCTCTCAATCCTTGCTATGAGCACTAAAGGAGTGAATTAAGCCATTCCCTACTGTATTTTAGAACTCAGATTGTGAGTGGACTGGAGGATAGAGCTTTAGCTACAGACGTAGAAAAATAGCAAGGTGTTCTGGTATGTTAACTAAATCCTGAGTCATTCCCTACACTGCAAGGAAGCAAAACAGCTTCCATTTAAGCTTGACTCTTTAAGATAGCTAAGTGCACAGCACACAATTTTCTTAGAAGAGGATGCATCTCCCTATGACCAGCAATTCATGAGCCTTCACATTCAGATTATGATGCATCTTGTGAAATCACAAGAACTAAATTCTCTGTCCCACATTGAAGCTAAATTTAGTAATTAAAAGGAAGTGCAAAACAAAAGAGAAGACAATGTTAAGAAAGAATCTCAAGAAATGAAAAACATGAAGCCTCAGACTTTTTCCAAATTCTTCCTATTTTGTATTCTCTACCTGATATGATAATGATCTGCCCCATTTTAAACCATCATCCACTGAGATAGAGCCAAGGTGCAGGAAGCAATTCAGTATGCTGTACTACCCCAGCCAGTTCTTTCCTGTAGCTCTCCGTGAAGTGTTGAATAAGGCTGAGCATTGAGGTTGAAGCACAGAGCCCCACACCTATTGTTATGGGACAAAAATGTTAACAGGAACTGGATGCATGGACCAAACATGTCTGAACAAGCTATCTAGTTTCACTTTCTAGAAATAGCATCCATGGTAGGTGCTGTGATTCACATTATCTGATAATTATCTTTTTCAATTCTTCTTTTATTTATACTTTGATCTCTGTGCCACATATATCCTTATTGCTTTATTCAACATATTTTTCTGTTTATTAAAATTATCTTATATTGCAATATTTCATTTATACATATGGTCCACTGTATTCTATTGATAAAATACAAAATATATTTTATTGTTTGTTCTAAGATTATTGTACGTGTTATTACTTAAGGACTGAAGCCATTTGTTTTGTTCCTATTCCTATATATTTTCTCCTTTTTATTATTAGAAACATACTTTCCGATGAATCATGGCTCTAAGTTCAACTCTATCTTCCACAATATGTATTAATGTACAACATTATACACACTTCTATTACATGTAGATGTGTATATTTCCTTTTTTAAACTACTACATTGCAGGAAATTAGGCAACTGAAATTACTAGTTTGGTGTTCTTGTCTATTCTGTCAATTGCCATATTCTACAGTATAATTTGCTAGAAATAGATGGCATTTTTCAGAGCTGAACAAGTCAAATAAATATCTAATAGTCCATGTTCTGATAATCACCATGAATATTGAAATGATTATTAAGATGTGCAATCAAGAATACAGATAATTTTCAGAACTTTTCAATTTTCTAAGATGTGTAGCAAATCATTCTCTTCTGATGGTCAAAAGATAATCTCTTTGTTTATGTTGTCTCCATTTCTAAACATGGCAAAGCACAGAAAGTGAATGCAAAATGTTAAAAGCACAAAATAGATAAAAATGTTATAACTAAATGTTACCTTTTTAGGTCAACCCCATAGCTCCATAATTATGATTAAGTAACACATTAGCAAATAATTTGTGTATTTCTTCATGCCTACATTATTATTGTATAATTATTTTTATACCTTAATTTCAGTACCACAACCAACTATCCAAAGGCATGATGATCAAAACCCAGATATCCCACTGTATAAGATTATTAAAAGATAATTTCAGTTTCAGAGTATAACTGAAATTTTTGGTCAGATCAGTACTGAAAGAGATCTAATATTTAAAATAAAGGTACACTATGAGTCAAATCTCTATATATGAATTCCCTGTACTGTATCTTTGAATATTTGTTTTCAATAGATGCAAACAGATGTTTCTATAGATTTTCAGACATTATGCATAATTGCGAATTGGTGTTTCTAAACAAGACTTTTTGTACTACTCATGGTTTTGCAACTATGAAAACAGGTATTTATAACAGTAAATATCTATTGAAAATGTTCCTCTGTATGCATAGTACACAGAATACTATGTTTAATAGATTATTAATATACAGTTTATAATAGATTATTTTGATATTAGATAGACAGTATGTACATCTATATAAAATAAGATTATTGTAATTATCAATATCTACCATTATATATTTTCTATTTAACTCTTTCCTTTTAGTCCAGATAAAAAACAGATTAATCAGCGTTTTTCTAATTTCATTATTTGGAAAACTAAATTGATAGAGTAGTGGTAACAGAAGTGCTCACAGAAGAGATTCTGTAATCAAAGAAGTTTAGGAAATTCTGAATTTAAAAACATATTAAAGAGAAGGATAGAACATTCTAATTTGTCTCATTTGTTTTACCATAGAATCTTTTCTCATAGAGTTGTGGAACAACCCGGTGAGGACAATGTATTAGTCAGCGTTCTCTGGATAAACAGAACCCATGGGGTATGTATAGATATGCACAAGGAGATTTATTATGGAAATGGACTTGTGTGATTATGGAAGAGGAACCAGGAGAACTGATGGTGTAATTCTCTAAGATTGAATGCCAGAGAACAAGTGGAGCTAATTTCTGAGAGCAGAGATGGATGACCCAGCTCAAGTAGAGACAGAGACAATTTGCAATTCTTTTGGTTCTGTTTGGCCCTCAATTGATTGGATGGTGCCTGCCCACATTGGCGAGGGTGAACTCCTCTTTAATCAGTCTACTGAGCCAATACTAATCTCTTGAACACAGCCTCACAGACATACCCCAAAATTGTGTTTGATCTACTATGTGGGTATCCTTCAGCCCAGACAAGTTGAAACATGAAATTAACCACCATAGCCAGTGTTCTGAACAACAGGACGCATTGTGTTATATGAATATTTACATTTCAAAGATAGCATTGATTGTTAATTCTAAAATTGTTCTAACATGATTTCATTATATTAATCAGTTAATAATTTCATTTAAAATTTTAGAATGTTTATTTTAAAATGTAAACTAAAATATGCTACAGTTATCTATATTAAGCAAAAACTAGAACACTAAGTTACATTTTATAGACAGTTTCAAAACTATTAGTCATTCCTTTCAAGAGATTATATTCTAGAAATATACTGCTATACATTATATATATAAACATATAACTATATAATATGTTTTAATTGTTTAAAGGTTATCTATCTGTATTTATAACTATATTTACTGAAAAAAAGAATTTGAGGAAAAATGATTACTTTTGGAGAGAGCACTTTGGAAAACAGTACATAGAGTAGGATTTTGCTTGGTTTAAAAGGAGGATATATTTTCATTAAATTGTATTTTTTTCCTAGATTAAGAAAACAATTTATTTTATGGACAAATAATTTTAAAATAAATAAAATTTAGATGGCCTATTTTTCACCTACTAGGTATAACCACTTTTAATATCTCATTGTAATTTAGTGTTAATATAGCTTGGTTCAAAATAAAATTGCATAACATATAATTTCTATTTTTCTCATTTAATTTTACAATTTAATTATAGGATGCCATTATTATAAGTATTTCCCCATATTCTTAATGCTATAATGACATGATTTCTAGAAACAGTGAATAACTATGGATACATCATGTTTTATATTTTTTTAAACAGAGTGGTTGTAAGGACCATTTTTCCTCAATTATGTTGTACAGATATTTAATGAGTTTGTTAATTTCCTAGGGCAGCTGTGACAAAGTACCATGAACTGGGATTAGACACCTGAAATGTACTGTCTTAGCTCTGGAGGCTGATGGTCTGCTCTCCTGGGGTCATCAGGGTTGGCTCCCTCTGAGTGCTGTGGGGGAATGTGTTCCATGCCTCTCCCAACTTCCGGTGGTTTCCTCAGCAATCTTTGGTGTTCCTTGGCTTGTAGAAGTATCACTCTGATCTTTGCCTTTATCTTCATGTGCTGCTGACCCCCTCAGCGTGTTCTGTGTCCTTTTCATAAGAATGCCAGTTAGATTGGGTTACGGCCCATCCTAATAATCTCATTTTAATTTTAGGACTTCTGACAACAGCCTATTTCTTTTTATTATGATGATGATTAGATATTAAGTTCTGGGGTACATGTGCAGAGCGTGCAGGTTTGTTACATATGTATAAACGTGCCATGGTGGTTTGCTGCATCCATCACCCTGTCATCTACATTAGGCTTTTCTCCTAATGCTGTCTCTCCTCTAGTGCCTGACCCCCTGCTATCCCTCCCTAGCCCCCACCTCCTGACAGGCCCTGGGCCAACAGCCTATTTCAAACCAAATAAGGCTACATTCTGAGGTATTGAGGGACCCTAACATATATTTTTTTGGGAGAGCGTAACTCAGTCTTTGATAATGAGTGCTTAGATAATGCTAAAGAGTAAGTAAAGAAAGGAATTGTCTTCAAAGACGAAAAGAAAGGGGCCAAGAGGAGACAGAAGTAGTGGTGACAGTCTAGCTTGGGCACAGTAAACAGCTTTCCCAGAGGACAGAAGCTGGAAATGTCCTAATTTAACACACAAGCATCCAGCATGTCATTTGCCTCATACGTTTTTCTCAATAAAAATCTATTTTTTTTCTGTTTCTTTGTATTTCTCTCCTTCCCTTCTCTGATTTCTCTATGTATCACACATATCTCATTCCTAGAATAGAGAATCAGTCTGGAAAATAAGCTAATTTTTCTTATATTTTCTAAGCCGCTTATCTATTAGTATTACTGCTGTTCCTCCAATATGTCTGTATAACCCTTTGTTGGGCCTCAATACAAAAATTGAAACTATATCTTACCATTTTGCTTTGAATTATGTCAGGATACTTTATAGTTAATAGATTTTGATTTTAGAATGATAAAACTTATAAAATGTCAATTATAAGTTTCGTCATTCATAAAATTCATTCATACCTTTAGTATGAAGAGCATAAAATCAGTCTATTGCTTTCTAACTTGATATGCTCTATCATTTTAATACAACATACATGTCTTAAAGTCAGAGCATTTCAGTCTTACTAAACCACTCAAACCTGTATTGTACACAGCAATGCAGTTGTCTAAAGCTATAATTCAACCTTATCACACTGTCATTATGAAATGCATTTGTTCTAAATCATCTGCAGAACTCTAAGTTTTAGGAAGACATTTGAGAAAGATCTTTTCAGAAAATTAGAAAAGTCTAAATATTGTGATATTTGTGTCAATATAATCAATCTATCTTAACCATTTTTAGAGATGTTTGAAATAAAATGTATTAAAATAACTTGCACCTAAGCAATTTTTAAAAGCATAAAACCTGAAGAATTTTAAGTAACCTGTAGTGAAAGCTTTTAATAGTTAATAAAATATATTCACATACTAATTGATTTTGTTAGTTGCATCAGATAAGAAAAAGTTTTGTCCTGTATCCTTTCTAGCCAATGTGCTTCTATTAGAATTGTGTCGAGCAATCACTGAACATTCCAGCTTTGCTGTCTTTCAGATATGCACCTAAAGTAGAATGTTAAAAATTACTTCTAAAGGTTGAAGAGAAGGAATTCAACCAAACAATAATCTTTTGCCACTAGTGACTATTTGGCTTTCAACAAATTAAAATAGATTATATAACATACAACAACATACTGTGCACTTAGGATACTACTGAAGGGATTTGAATGGGAGCAGGAGACACATGACTATAGGAACAGGAATATACAACTAAAGACATGGGCTGTTTTGACGATGAAATATCACCACTGCTCTAAAAACCTTGCTTGCTTGGATTCTGTTGAATAATCAAAGGGTTAATAATGTAATTGTAGCCACGGATGACTGGAAGTACTATTCAGGCTGATTACCTGTTAATGCTCAGGTGGCTTTAGTTTTCATCTATTGCCCCTTTTGGAATAGATGGTGTGGGCAGGGTCCAGGTGGAGAGTGGGTACAAATGAAGTCCTTTTGTTACAAGTCTGATGATAAAACTAATTCCCCTTGGGGACTGGTGGGTCACTGATCTGGGTGGAGTTTACACCTTGTTACCATTATCTGTGTGGGTTTTTTCTAGTTTCCTTCAACATCCCAAAGATGTGCACATTAGGTTTGTAGGTTTGTCTGGATGGTTCCAGTGAGAGAGAGAGAGAGAGAGTGTGAGAGTGTGTCTTAGTATATGTGTGTGTGAGTGTGTATGTTGCCCTGCAAAGAGATGACATCCTGTCCAGGTTAAGTTTCTATGTGTCCTGGCCACCCAATACCCTGAACTGAAATAATTGGGTAAATAATCGTCTTACTCATGCATGTTTATTTCAGTGTTTAATATTAGAAGTGTTTTTGTCCTTTATTTAGAAGTTTGGTGATGATTTTGTAGCAAAGTATGCCATAGGAACTTCTGTTTATATTAATTAACCCATGGGAAAATTGGTTTGATTATATGTCATTTTGCTAAGAGTCGCAGTTTTTAACAAGCTATTCATGGCATTAAGTGAGGACTTAAGTGTACACTGAGAATGGTGCATTCTTGACTCTCACGTTCCCAAAATAAAATAGCCTTGCTAAAATGAAGCAACTTAGATAGACTGTATGATCAGAAATGAGCTATCCCAAATGATATGCCTCTGATGCAAACATGTGCTATCTTGTTACAAGGAGATCATGCCCAAATACTCCATGTAGTCCTCCTGTTCAGACAGCAAGAGACCAGAGAAGAAACTATAACCTACTGCTTTTTCAGCTACTGTAAACTTAAATTATGAGCACAATCTCTGAGCCATTGAAAATAATAATAAATGGGGAATATCCAATAGCATAAGGAATGAATGCTGAGTAGAATAGTTCAGGTTGAGGTAAAAAAAATATGGGTTCAGAAAATAATAAGACTGCTACAAATGGCATGGTATGACAAAATGCACTCTAGAAAGAAAGGAGTATGCCCTGACTCAGGTGACTGCTTCGTAAAGGGTTCTCTGTTTCCTCTGTGTTTATTTCCACCTTGGATGAGTTGAAGTGCAGTGATGCTGAAGGATACTAAAAAAAGAAATGTTTTTCTTGCAAGATACTGAAGGTGGTGAGAATTTGAAAATGCAGAACTTAGTGCAATGACTGGCACATGGTCATGCTTAATTGGCTATGGTTAACTACATACTATAAGACATCACCGAATTTACAAGGCAAAGTTGTCGTATGGCTGAATTCATCATTAAAGTTGGAAATAGATCAATTGACTGAAAATGCAAGTAAACAAAACCATCCTCTCAGTCATATGTCCTAATTTGCTGTGAAACAGTCATAGCACTTGTATACAAATTGTTAAATCTCATTGGGTAAAATGCTCCCTAGTTTTTACCTGAAATGCATAAGTACAGCAATATATATTATTTCTACAGAACATGTATAGCCTTTATAAATTATGCAGACTCTGTAGCTTGCTAGCTAGCTATAGTTAGTATGTCAAATGTAGATTTTCTTCAATTACAGGTAATATACTTAAAAATAAAT